AAACCACACTGCTCTTCCTGAATCCGAGGTTCGACTATCCGACGGACCCTCCTCCGACGGACCCTTTAAATGTATAGACAAAGATATACACTTTAAGTGTACTAAGTATATTTTAAGTTGTTCCATTTTATTATTTAAAAGTATACCTAATACACTTAAAATTGTGCTTTTGTACAACTTAAATACAACTAAAGTATATTTAGTTTTAAGTTAGTTGTTCCAAAATAGCACTGATGATTAGTGCGGCTTCAAGTATACTTAGATTTAGTAAACTTATTATAATATTTTTTCACCAGGGAAGGTTTACTGAAAGAACTAAATTTGGACATGTTATATAGTCAAAATTTTAGTTTTTTTTAATCATAAAAATCTTTCAATTAATCTGTAAATTTAAGATAGAAGCTCGTTCAATTCTAAAATGCTAAATAGAATAACAAAAAAACACCAAATATTTATTTCCTCTGAAGCATCTTCATGGTAAATACACAAAATATCAAGTTTTCTCTCATTTCACCTGTGAGAAGCAGCCCTGCAGCCTATGGTTTGTTTTAAATTTGACACATTTTTATCACTTTAAAATCTTTGCGTTATTACAGAATGAAAARAATCCCATTTACTTTAATCCTATCAAAGAGGTTGGGAGGTTATTGTTGAAACATCCTTACATGGATGCAGAAAACCTCAGTGCTGACAATCAGCAGGTCATTGCTGCAGACAGTGCATTTATCGTCCCTGCAGGTGGGAATTCACTTGTTCCGCTCAAGGACCGATCTTCTGACCTCAAACCTTTAACTCTGGACCTTTCAGTGTGCCCTCAGGCCTCCTGTTAGTGGTGTTTGTGGTCTCTCTGGGAGCTCAGAACTGTCCAGAAACCAAGAACACACGAGCGACGAAGCCAAGGCTAATTGTAGCACGTGTTGTGGTCCGAGCCAAGCTGAGTCGGTGCATCAGACAGTCAGAAAATAAYGAGCGTTTGGATCGTGTAAAGCTGCGAAACGCTGAGTGAAGCCGACACGTTTATCTTGATTGTTTTTGTCAGTGATTGTGACGGACTGAGTGTGTGAAAAAGATTAGTTTGAGGTTATTTGTTGATTTTTCCACCTTTGTTTAACCTTTAAATGTGAAGTGTCAGAACTCATTTCCAGAAAAAGTTTGGAATATTGTTTTTATATGACTCTCCGTATGATAAACCACCTCAGAAAACTTGATGAGTTTGAGTCTTTGTGTTAAATTATCAACAATCACTGGTAAAACTGCTATTCTTCATTTTTTGTTTCAATCAGCAGCTCTGTTTTTTTTTAAAAATCTTTCAAACTTTTTCTCAGGATGACGGCTGACAGCGTATTGTGCTTAAAAGCATGAGGAAAGTGGATAAAAGAAGCAGTGCAGGCTTGAAAATTTTCATTGCTGAAGATTTAAGTTGACATTTAAGAATATGGTTACGATTTCAGTTTGCGAACCATGCATGCATGCAATTTAATAAATGTTTCAAAAAGAATGCATTCAAAATTCGAGCGCACAATCGTGACAAAACACAGAGTTTTTCTGCAGCTGCTCCAGATGTTTTGTAACGACCAACTCAGCTCCACTTTATTGCAAACAAAGCAGGTGAGCTCTTGGAAAATAAAAAAGGAAAAATAATCAAAGTAAAGAAGAAATGTGAGGAATGTCACAGGGATATTTGTCATTTACGAGACAAATTGTTAAATAATGAGGAAAGCAGAAGGGCAGGTCATTAGGGTGGGAAAAAAACTGTAAGAAACAAATGGTTCAAATGAAAGAGGAGGAAATTTAATCTTTAGAATCTGTTCCAATAAACCTGAGTTTGATCTGTGATGCAGCATAGAAACTTGAAGCGGTCGCAGTGGTTTTAACCCATGAGGTTTATGTGAAACTGGCTTCCTGAGACTGGTGGGTTTCACAWCAGCTTCCTCACGCTGCGGCGCTCCGTGCCTCGCCTCATCTCTGTGGGGTGCCGATAGTAAAATTACCACCAATATTTTTGTTTTGTTTATCCTTTTATAAGGAAAAATGAAGAGATTTATTTTTCAAAGTCAGTTTTTCACCATATGAT